AATTTTCATATTATCCCCTACATTAAGATTCAGCTCCTCTGCCAATAGCCTAAGATCCTTCTTTCGTGCCTTACCAAAATAAGCCATTTTTACTACTTGTTTACCTATCTACTCAATAATAAAATCACGAAAATGAGAAAGAAAAAGAAAGGAACTTTTGTTAAAACTACTCCTCTCAATATGTAACTGAACTAACACTTCACATTTAAGTTATGTCATATTATATTAATGCAATCTTAAGTACCCAAATACAAAATCAAATATTGTTTGGTATAAACATATGCAAGTATTACATCGTAATTAATTAGATCACAAATAAAATAGAGTAAAATATGACAATAAAAAAAATCACAATTTATACACTCTCTCAATCTTAAGTAAAGAATTTTTTTTTTAGAATGACATTTTATGACATGAGAACCAATCAAAGTCTCACAAAGCTAGAAAATATTACTTTTCCGAAACAATTCCACAATAATTTTTAGTAAAAAAATGTTTTGCAATAAATCAAAAAGAAACTGTTCCACAACAACATAAAAAATGATTTCCGGTGTAGAGGTTATTATTGATTCATCGCTACAACGGTTTGCATGTATCATATAAAAACTTTCACAGATGAAGAACCTATTGCTACCAATCGCCATCATTCAGCAGAATGGAAAACACCACTTTAAAAATAGTCTTTTTACATACATTATAACGCCTATTGCTACTCATTCAACACAAATAGTTTCATTATATAACACTTCTAGCCTGAAAAGAAAAAAAAAACTCTAAATATGAAATATCTGGAAACGAAACTATTACCCTCAGAAATTTGTTGAACACTGGCGTATGCAAGACTTAACACAAAAACTTATTTAACACAAGAATACTGTATAATATAAACAACAAATGGTTCTTATACTTTTAATCGAGTACTGGCGTATCCAAACAAATTTACAATTTAAAATACTGATGTATTTCAATAAAAACAAAATTACTTATCTTAAACACTTAACACATGTCGTGTTATTTACGAAATTTATCGAATACTGCCGTATCCAAACAAGTTTACCATTTATATTACTGATATTGCAAAACGAAAGTAAGCACTGACGTGCAAAAAATAAATAAATAAAAACCATTTTACGCATTCATTTTGAGAACCCGTCGACATAATTAATATTTTATTTCTCTCTGATTACAAATTGAGGAGTCATATTATATAAAAATGAGGCTCTAACCTTATTTTTTGTTATTCCAAAAGTGACTTCCGTTTGTGTGAAGATGAGAGATTTACTTTTTTTTTTTTAAAAAAATTTACGTTAATTTAATATTTTTGCAGATTTTTGCCGACTGCGCCAGTAAAGTTTGCATCATTTGAGTAAGCAAGCCTTGATTTTGGCCGAACAAATTTATTAGTTTTAACAAATATTTACACATATACACGTTCCATCACAAAAACAGGACACACTTTACACAAGTCTACACGAGTTTTGATCCGCCGCACCGCCTGCTTTGCATGACGGATTTCCCCTTGAAATAATCCCCAAGGGTTTATTACACGACCGATCTGGCATGATGATTCAGAGGAGTCTTACTATTTTGAAGGAAGCCATTATAAGAAAATATACAAATAATAATTTTTATTCCACGTAAAAATATAATTCCGCCCCTTGAACTTTTATCGTATACTTTTTGTTTTGTTGGTAAATTAATTCAATTGCAGACGTATCAGAAACATCCCTGAAACCATCGATAGATTATTGTTTTTCAAACAGAAGTCTTCGGCAGAAAACCAAACGACGTTACATCTCAGAAAATATTTCCATTCCTTACTCATATAACGGTCAAGATAGTTTCTTGAAAAGGTAACACCATATGTTTTGTAAGAAAAGTATTATTTAAGAAAAACAGAGTCAGAATTTCTCAATGACATGATGCAACTCAAAAATAAGGAATGGGGGTTAGTTTTAAATTAAAAAAATATTTCAATTAAATTATTTCTCAGATTACAAAAGCTAGGTTCTTTTTGTTTTCAGTCATAACTTGTCTGTCCTAAAGTGCCAAGCATTATTCCATACGTTAAAAGAGTACCAAAGGTGCAAATCACAAGTGATCTGTTCATCACATAAATCTTCCATAACGTCAAACCATTACCTTGTAACAATGTCTTCTTGAAAAAATTGATATTTTGCTCTTTTTCCACTGATTTGCGTGGTAAACACTGCATGAGGACTCTGACTTCATTTGCCAGTTCGTTTGAAGCAGCGCCTGAAATCATTAACACTAATAGAAGAACCAGGTAAAAAGTTCCAGAAAGTGTGAAAAGTAGATATGAAATTGCTGCATTTTTATAGAATGCCATCCTGTAAAGATTCCAAAACAAGCCAGATGCGCTGATGAGAATTGTGACAAACGCCAGAAATGAAAATTCGGAATCCATGTCATTTAAGTTCTTCATGATACCGTCATAAATGTTGAGCAACCTTTTAAATTCGTTCGATGATTCAAATCCGTGTATTTGAATTAGCAAACACTTAAAAATATCTCGAATAAAACTGCAGGTGAGACTATAATAAGTAACGAAGACGGATAAAGCAATGATAACTGTGACGAAAGAGAGTGATTCAACTACAGAAAGGAGTGAAGCAGTGGCCCTAGCAAGGGCACTTGTTTCCTGATATAATTTGAATACCATGTTTCGAAACTTCCTACGATTACTTGGCATTCCATATGAATAAATGAGTCGACAAATTAGAAAAATTTTTGCATGTACTAAAACTCCTGTAAAAAAACATTTATTTTCTTTACAAATACAATTTGGTAATTGCTTATATATGTAACCAATATCTTTTGAGATCCGTAACATTGTTTGTCGCTTTCTGTAAAGACATATGTAGAATGTGGTAAACAAAAGCGATTGGAAAACACGAATTAAATCAACTTTAACGTCTTTTAAGAACATCATCTGTAATACTGCGAATAAATTCCTGGCGTACATAGCACCGAAAACGAAATATTTGAAACAGTTTTCAAAAATATAAAAGCTACCCTTTCCTTAATACTTATTGTTTTATGATCTTGCGAATTTTTATTCTTTTTGTTTTCGGCATGTTCTGCCACATTAACCCCAATCAAACGCAGGAGACCAAACAACAAAAAATATTTCCTTAATATACAATAATCAGAAGAACTGTGCTCTCTGAATTTGTCTTGTCCTTCATTTCGATGCTTCTTTGGAGATACACATTTTCTTACTTTATTTACTTGACGTAATTCGCTAAATTTTGTAATGTTATTCATTGAAGCTGTCTTACTTTTTGTAGTAAACATGTTTTTGTTAATGAGAAATGCTTTTAATCACAATTAAAGCGTTTAATTTAGTTCAACACATTCGAAATAAATATTCGTTGACACAGTTTCGAGAACTGTTGCCTTTAATTCCATTGCAAACTCAATTATTCTCTTTAGAAAAAGAAAATACCGTGTCCACTCAAATTACCGAATTCAGAACCAAAGTAAAACCAAATGGTAAAATTTTTACATTAGGTTGAAAATAAATAAGCTCTTAGAGATAGTGAATTCAATATTACTTTAGTGCAATGTTTTTTTACCTCAAACTCAAGCCTTTGTTAGAATATAACAAAGCTTTTAACAAGCTATTTGGAAGCATAGACAGAGAAATTAGTTCTGTATTATAAAAATAATATTTTTAATTCATTTATTGCTTAAAATGGTACTTTGTTAAAATCTTTTCTACTTGGAACATAGAGGTAATTTACATTACTTTTACATTTTAAATATCTTATTCTTCAGTATATTGAAACGTACCGATATTAAGTCCCGCGCATTTTAGATGTTGTGTAACTAATATAACATAATCATTGCTTCTAATAGTTTATGTAAAATGTGAAAAATGAAATTTAATTGCTTTCAGGTCTTTGTATTTCTTAAAAGCTTTTGTAATCTAAAAAAATATTGTTATTTTATATTCGAAATGAATTTTTATTAGTTTGGTTAATTGAACATCATAAAATAAAATGAATACATCCACGGTTTTTTTTTTCTGTAATTCTGCTACTTTTTTCAATTCCCATGTCCTTTCTTGTGATTCAAACAACAATTTCAACATTTTTATTCGAGTATATTCAATTGATTACCATGACAGCACAAAGAAACATTAAAATCTAAGCAAAAACTTTTATTAATTTATAAAGTTCTCCGAAGTTTTAGCGATAATTGATAAAATATTCATATTTACATTTCACAAAAACACATTACTTTTTACAATGATCATTGTAAATTACAATTATCTGGACAGATCGTTGAAAAATGAAGCGAATTATTCTGAATGAAACAGAGATAGCTTTAATGTCAAACTAATGGTTAAATTAATAGTCACATGTCAAATTCAAGGTCACATGATAACGACAGTCCAAACAATCAATTCATAAATTCATGCGACGCTATAATCACACGTCAAATGCAATCACATGTTTCAAGATAAATCACTTCGTGCTGTTTGTTGTTGCCAACGTTTGTCTTTTGGCGAAAACTTTCTTTTATAAAATACATAAATAAAATGTACTCAGTTATAAAATATATATCTATTTTTTATTTTGAAAAACTTTTTGATGAATTTTTACATTTGGACATCTACACCCAATTATTAAGTTTAAAGTGCAAGTTTAATGGCAGTTTGTTTTGAGTTCAATGGAAAATACGGGATTGCATTGATCATGTGACCGGCATGAATTTAGTCCATTGCTATCTTTTTTTTAAAAATTTCAGTTTTTTTTGAAGTTATACTTCTTATTGGGCGTTTGGGAAGAAGGATGAGGGTAAACTTTTACAATGCGCACGCACACCGTCATGGATGGGACGCAAAACCGCCACGGATGTGACGCACAACGTCACGGATGCGAACATGCTTTGTCTAGAAATATACAGAATGGGACAGATCATTCCCGCCTTCGAAATTCTCAGAAAAATATTTCTTTTCACTTCCCTGAAGAAAGGGGCATCCGGATTTGAACCGGTGACCTCTCGATCTGCAGTCGAATGCTCTACCACTAAGATATACACCCGCTTCAACGAACCTTTGCTTTGAGTTCCGTAGGAAGGGATACGAAAATGCCTTGTCTAGAAATATATAGAATGGGGCAGATCATTCCCACCTTCGAAATTCTCAAAAAAATACTTGTTTACTATATTAGGTTATACTTCATTTTGGGAGTTAGGGAAAAAGAATGAGGGTAAATTTTTACGATGTGCGCTCACACCGTCACGTATGCACGCGCACAGCGTTGTATAATATTTTAACATGCCACTTTTTTGGTGCTATGGGACTGATATTTGGGGGATCATAAAAATTATTGTTATAAACCATATCTGTTGGACGCATCCTCCCTGTGCATTCCCTCCCTCTACAGCTTTTTGGCCAATATCTCGGCACCCGAGCCTCACGGTCCATTCGGACCTGGCTCATTCAATCCCTCTCAATCTGCTCTTCCAGTTAATTTAATTTCATGTGTGTGTGTGTGGGCTCATAGGGCTATTTCTTCCATAGTTTTTAATTGTCTTTAACTTTTTTAAGTTGTTTAAATTCACAATATCTTGGCTCCTGTTCGAGTATCGGACTTGAGATTTGAACCAACTGTTCCACTCGTCCAGATCCACCCAGTCATCTACTTCATTCCCATTGTGTAAGAAGGAGGGCTTAAGCACTAAAATATCATGCTCCCATGTTAATCCTATAGGAACTGAAAAAAAATTCACCCCCTCCCTAAGCGTTTGAGGTTGGAATTTGATTTTTGGTGGTCTGCCATATTTTCGTATTGGCGCAAGCTTTACGTGAATTGGTCCCCTCCCCCCTACAGGGCTTCCCCAGAGATAACTTAGAACCTATGCCACCTTGGTTGACCGCACCGGCTGGATTCGATTGTTCTTCCTACGAGCATCCTAGATATTTTTTTTTCAGGAGTATAGCCCATTTCTTTACCCATATTTAACATTTTAAAATTATTTTAAAGTTATAATTTTTTTTAAAATCCCGCATAGCTCCGAGGAGATTGGAGATTCGCTAAAGAAACTCGGACCCTAGGTTTTCCTCTTTGAGGTGTTATAATTCGTGTGTAGTAGTGTGCTTAGAGGTAGCGTTATCAGTAAAATTAGAATACCCATGTTATTCCTATGGGGTTCGATCTTTTAATGACGTAGCGATATTGCAGAGATAGAAGGAAGAAACTTTGGGATCACTTACTACTCTGTATATCGTTGGGATGTACGTGACCATTTGACAGTTGTAACCCCCGAGGGGAGTTAGCTTCGTGTCCATTTCCCGAGCCAGCATCGCCCCATTTGCAACTATAGACTCTGGACCGGATCGAATGGATTCCTTTTGTGTTTCCTCACAACCAGGCCCAGTTTCGAGTTGCTGGGTGCCCTGTTTCTATTTTATTTAATTATTTTAAAATGACCATAACTCGGGAAATTTCAGACAGATGTCTTAATTTTCTCAGGAACGATTCTTCCCGTCGAGACATTCAATGTGAGGTCTCAGATGTTACATTCGGTTCAACTTATCTCCAGGTACAGTCTGCCAACCCCCCCCCTCATGTTGTTGATCCTATTGTCCCTGTGCGGGGGTGTTTAAATTTATTTAAATCGTGATTATCTCAGGTTTGGCTGGTCCGATTGACTGAAGGTTAGTATTGTTCAACTCTGCTCGTGACCGCCTTTCATCCTTGGCCCAGCTTGCTCTGCTCAAGATTCTTAGAAATATTTTATACTTGTTACGCCAAAGAAGTATAATTTCTTGCGTGCGTACAGAAGTACACAAACACACTTTTTTGTGCTTAAAAAGTCACTCTTACTTTGGTTCCAAGTTTGGAATGGAATGTAGTACGCCTCCTTGTGGTGCACCCTGAATTTGCAACATCTCATAAAGCATCGTTTCTTTTTCTCGTCTATAATATTGGGATGTAGGTAGCTTAACTCAGACAATGAAAGCTAAGCTGGAAACTAGATAAATTTAATTTGAGGGGGATGTCTTCACAATTGTGGAAGTTATTTATGTGATTCTCTTGTGGATTGGGTGTTTATTTACTCAAAAGTTTTACAGTATTTTAAAAGAAAACTAAGAAGATTGCTGGTAGTATATTGTTTGGAATACAAATTATTTAACTGGAAAGCTTTCAATTGTTTAAGGAGAGTTGGAAACCTCTCTCTCTATACATGCTGACAATGTTAAATTCGCTGTTTTCGATGAACCTTTTCTCAAACTCTGTTACATGCACATGCTTGAAATTTTTTATACAATTAAAGTATACCTACCTTTCTCATTATATTCAAATGAGCTTTTAGCTAATTTTGAATTTTTTAATAATTTTGTAAAAAAAAAATTTTCAAACATTACGAATTTTGTCCCATTTTTTTACATAAAAAAATTTGTAAAAAATAGATTTTTGAGTTTTTCACAAAAGTAATTTTAGTATATATTAGCCATCATTATCAATATATCATAAAAAATTTACATACCTGTGAACAATAGTTTCTCAGAAGAGGTACGTTGAACATGGAAATTTACATTTTGAGATAAATTTATTTTAATGTATACAGTGAGACTTCTAATTGGCTAGGAAATAAAAAAACAACAAAATGCTTAGTTTACATTAAAGGATACATATTTTGGTTTATATGAGACGTTCAACTTTTAAACAAAACTAAGTACTTTGTTTACATTTTTCGCCATTCAGATGGGCATGGCCCACTTTCAATGATTATTTAAAAATAGGGTCTAAGGGCTTCTAACTACCTTCGAATTTAAGGTGAGGTATTTTTAAAAAGGGTAAAATGTATGCAATTTAAAAATGCAAAAATCTCCAATTGTGAAAAAAAATAAGATTTTAGCTTTCCAACACCCCTTAAAAGATTGAAAGAGACGAAGACAGGACAGAATTTTCAAAGTTTGGTGTCTGATGTTTTTGAATGTATTCTATACATGGTTCCCCCGAAAGTAAACCTGATTCAATCTTTCCGTTTCGCAGCGTCAGTGCTCAGGTGCCTCAATCTGGGGACCTAACCGTACGTCAAAATGACATCGCTGCAATTGGTACTCCTCCTGTATGGTGCCGCACTTCAAAGGGATACCGACTGACGATGGATGTCTGAAAGGGTTAACAGCAATCCTCAGCCCAATTGAAAAAAAAAAGAAATTTAACGCAACAACGCTTTTTTGCCGTTACATACAAAAGCGCTACTTCAACCAAGATAATCTTATTTAGGTTTACAACATTGTAGAGTTACAATTTGACATTGTTTAACACTTACGTTGACAGTCTGCCACAAATTTTCTATTATTCCAAGAATATAAAATGTGCTAATTTTGTTGAGGATTTGGTTATCTGTTCATCAAGACATCGTAAGAAAAAACCCTTTTAGTTAACAAATTAAATGAGACGCTACGGAAACTCTTTAAATGGTGTAAGGTCAATGAAATGGAAGTAAGAATTGAAAAACCGTGCTATAAAACACATTTACATTAAATCATAAGGAAACAAACGTTCTAATATACTCAATAAGCATTAAAACTCTGTGCTTTCCTTTTACTTGAGTCCCATTAAAGAAAATATGAGGGTGAAAGAAGACTACAAGAACAGAAAGAAAGAAATCGACAGTCAACAGTTTTGAAAAGACTAAAGATCTATCGAAATGAGCTCTTTGAAAGGATTAAAAATAAAGCAAGAGACTTTTGAGAGAATACCAGAGTTTCCAAGACAGCACGCAGTTGCTGTATTCAGGCTTGAAATCGACCATGACTATGTTCCTGTTCACTAATTGAACAAATTCGGAATACTTTCTTTCCCAAACTATGTCGTCTACAAAAACGATCAAGTTATGGACACTAACATCTTGGAGCATTCAATCAATCAGTAGGAGTCTTTATGATAGATATCAGAAGGCTAAAGAACTGTTACAGATCATCCTGTCTGACGGATTTTTATTTTATTTCATTATTTTTGCACGTATTTAGTCGTAAATTTTTATTTACTCTTATTTGTAGTTGTGTTTCTCCTTGTATGTGTGTGCAGTGTTTTTGCTTCCACGAAAGATTATGTGAAGTGCTCATGTTAAAATAAAAGAAATATACTCTTACTTTATAAGGGTATTCTTCCCATTAACTCAACGAAAAAATTGTATTAATTGTTTATGTTTCAAACGTAATAAAGAGGAGGGAAAACGTTCGTGAAACATTTGCAATAAGTTATACTTTAACTGCAATTTTTCTAAAATTTTTGAACAAGAATCAAATAAGAAAATACGCCTTTTTTATACAAGAGTTTAATGTTTCTTTAAATGGATTTAAAAAATCAGCAATTTTATTTATTTTCAAAACATTAGTTTTTATATTTAATACCACTAGAGAGCATTAAATTTTTAAATATCTACATATTTTTCTTAAAGCTATACATATGTTTTTATTATAATATTTATTAAAGAAAAAAGTTAATGTAGATTAAGTGATAAAAAAAATGTAGAATTAACTGGAAAAAGGAAATTATATTGAAGAAAGAAATTACAGTAAAAAAAAAGAAGTATGAGTAACAGTTTTTGCTGTAAAAGAATAAAATGTCACATCTTGGAATCCATTTTTATTGCATATTTTCTGTATTTACATAGTATGAAAAGAATTCTCGGAATAATCATGGTTTTTGAAGAAGAATTGTCCAGCTGAAACGCAAACAAGGTGAGGAGTGCAAAAATATTCTTCATTTTTGTAGATATGCGAGATTTTCAATCTTAAAAAATTGAAAATCTAGCATGATATCAGTCTTCTTATCAGTCAGTCTTAGAAAAGATTGAACATTATTCTTTTTTATTAAATAAAATTATAAAATACAATTAAACTTCACAAGGATATGATGTAATAAAAAAATAAGGGGAAAATTCTAGTCTCTTGTTAAAAGTATTTTACTCCTATTATTTCTCAAATTTCGAAATCAAAACGCAAGTTTTTAAAACTGACATTATTAAAATTTTCGCAGTTAACTATTTTTTCCTAAAGTTCCAAGCATTATTCCGTATG